AATTTAGTTTCAAAATTTGGACTTTAGTATTTTATTTTAGTTCTATAAATGCATATATGTTGATTCTGTTATATTGTCGGGTGTCAATGCAGGCAAAAGTAATTTCGTAAAGTAAGTTACGACTTTTTTTTTTAAATTTCTCACCATTTTCTTCTTCTTAAATTTATTTCATTATACGCATAGAATACAAAATTACATGACTTACATGCGCAATTAATTCTTTTAAACTAGAAAAAAAAATTATGAAAAGCGTTATTAATGAAGATTTTTTTCTTAGAAGAATTTATCGTTTAGCGAAATGAAATTAACTGTTGTATACATAAATATGACAGACACATTTTTTTAAGTATAATAAAACTAAAATCTAAAATAACTTAAAACTTTTAAATAATTATATAAATATGTTAATATAAATATTTTAAATTAGTTTTAATAACTTAAAACTAAAATAACTGTATAAAAATGATTGTAAAATTTTATGTTTTTGTATAAAAGCAAGACGTGAAAAAATTTCGAACACGAATATAGATTTAAAGAATCCTATCTTTATTCAATGGTTTTATTGCAATGAAGCAAGAAAAAAACTCACATTTAAAACTCAGCATCTACAGAGAAAAATAATTCAGTTCATGCTTTAAAAATAATCATCGTTTATGTAATAACCGTAAAAAGAAATGTGGCACTACATAATAAACTGTAGAGTGCAAACAGTAGAAACAATTATTCAAATCTACAGTATAAGCTAATAGACTTCTTTTAGAGTAGCTAGGTAGGAGAGCGCAGTAGTCCTTGGAGAAAAATAATTCATAAAAAGTCTTATGATGACGTCAGAATGCATTATACTTATGTATTATCGTTCATGTTTAAACTATAGAAAAATACGTTGTCGTATTTTGGAATTATGTTTAAGTAACAGAAAATTTTTGCACAAGTTACAATCTATTATTGGAGACTGTAACTTGTTGATAATAACCCAAATACTGTTTTAGTTGGGCTTATATTGTTCTTCAATAAAGTCTACAATTAAAAATTGGAAATTGATAACAAATATTCCTTTTGTGTATTTTCAATACCTTGATACAGATATTTAATGATGTTGCAATGTTAAAGTGTAGGAAAAATGTGTAGTCATATTTTTGTTTTATGTTTAAGTTAACAATGAAGTTTTGCATAAGTTATAATTTAATGAACTATAACTTTATTTTATAACTTAAATATTGTCTTTAAATATTATATTATTCATCAAATGAAAGTTTAAAATTAAATATTAGAAAACAATTTTAAAGAACCTTAATTTCATAAATCTTTCTTTTATTTTTAAAATAACAATATTTTTTTATATTGATGGATACATTTAATGTTATGGTGTTGCATCCTAATGTTAAGCTATAGGAAATATTTGTATTCAGATTTTCGACTAGAAGCATAATATTTAAGTTAGTTTTGAAATTTCACAATAGTTAAAATCTAATACTAAAAAAATAGATTATTACGCAAAAAATAATTGATCAATTCTTGTATTATTTGACAGTAAAATTTATAATTAAAATTTAGAAAAACCACTGTTTATAGAATCGTTTGCTTCAAAATGTTGCGTTCTTTTCCTATTGATTCATTTATTTAACGATGTTGTAACCCTAGCGTTAAAATATAATTAAATGCGAATTCATATTGTCGATTAGAGTTACAATAAAACTGTGAAAAGCTAATATTAAAGGATATTTTAAAACCCGAAAGTGACTAAATAAGTAAAAAAAAAATGGTATTGATTGAAAATTAGAAAACGATTAAAGAAATAACGATTTGTAGGATCGTTTTACTAAAACATTTGAGTTCTTTTAATGCTGCTACTCTTTAAGGTTGTTATCTCGTTTCTTCTACTAAAGAATATACTATCAAAATAAAATTGTATATTTTAGTAAGTATTTTAAGCTGTAGATTTTCCTCTTATTAAAAATGGTATTATTTTAATTGCTTTCATAATCTATATAAGAATTTAATTCTTCATAAATACAATTATTTATAACCATCTAAGTTAATGACTTTTAATCTCAATTAAAATTGAACAGTTTATTGGTCGGCATTAAAATATTTCCATGATATTTCTTTTTTAAGTGAGATTTCATGATTATATCATGATAGTTTCGATATTTTAGCCAGCTCTTTCTTTGTATTGCAGGTTTTAGATTGTTCTAGGTGTAAATGTTATTCGTTTAAATTGTTTGTAAGTATTTATATTAAAGAACAAATTCTAAACTGATAAACTCTTTTCATTGTATGGTAGGTTTTAGAGTGTTCTCTAGGTGTAAATGTTATTCGTTTGTAAGTGCTTAAGTTAAAAAACTTTTTATCTGATTAAAAATTTAATCATTTTATTACGTTTGAGAATCATGAATCTTTCCTTGTTATTTCTTTTATAAATGAAATTTCCTATTTATTTCACAATTGCTTGGATAATTCATTAAACTATTTTCTCATTTTGTAGATTTTAGAGTCGTCTCCGCTGAAATGTTATTTGTTAAGAAGTATTTAAGTTAAAAACATTTAATCGGATAAAATTTGAATTATTTTATTGAGTTTCAAGTATCATGAATATTTCCACGATATTTCTTTCATAAATGAGATTTTTTTTATTTGAATAGTTCGAACTTGAATATGTTGCCTATCTCTCTTTCCGTATTGTAAGTTTTAAAGATTGCCTTAGTAAAAATGTTATCATTCTTATTTGTAAATATTTAAGTTAAATTTTTTATCTGGAAAAATTGAGTTATTCTCTTTGCTTTTGCCACAGTAAATTATTCTTGGATTTTTTTGATGAAAATGTGCTTTTTATGTTCCCGTGAAACATTTCGCTCCATTATTATTTTCAATTTCTACTAAATAAAAATTTCATTAATTTTTTTTTGTAAATCTGTAATTATTTAAGTTGTAGATGATTATCTACATGTTATTTTATTTGAATTCATGGTGCATATTTATAGCATTTTTCATTTTATAACTGTTATTTTCTTTGGCTTCTAAAATGATATTCTTTTGTGTGTCAGTAGTGTGTTATTATAGTAAATTTTTGGTCTTCTGTTTTTATATCTATGCTTAATTTCAAGATTTTTCTTTTTAATTAGTGAAATTTTCTCTCGGATTTATAACTCATTTTTCCCATTATAACTTTTATAGTCTTGCAAATGTAAATTTTATACTTTTATAAATATTTCAAATGTAAATTTTGATTTAGATAAGAATTCGATATTTTATTTAATTTAGTTCTAAAATTTGGACTTTTCATTATTAGAGTTCATCTTTTATTATTATTATCAACTGATTCTAAGTATTAATAACTGATTCTGAAAATGTATGATAAAATGTAAATATTTTTTTAATTATAAGAAAAACAATTTTATTGTGAACAATTTTGAAGATCTAATGTCTAATCAAGGCTTCAAGGTGTAAAACTGTAAATATTTTATTTGAATCTTTTTGTAATAAATGAAAAATCTCACATTCGCATAAATTAAATAATTGCAGCATTATTTGAATGTGAAAGGATATTAAATAATTAGAATCGAAGTCTACATTGTTTTGCTGGTACTTTTAACTCGGCATTGAACAACTTGAAAGCAAGTTTTACAAAAAGAAAAAATGAAAAAAATAAATGAATGAAAATAAATAAAATGCAATAAATTTTTAAAATCAAAATTATATTTTTAAAATTTTTGAAACAAATTTGTTTATTCTAAACAGCGATTAAATTGTTATTTTTAAAAAGTTGAGAAATAAAATATTTAAATGGTTTTAATAATTCGAGAAAAATTTAAAAATAATATAGATTAAAACAAATTAAAATTTTATGCATTTAATACATTTTAAGAATTTATTTAATTTAAGTCAAAAACTTAATTAAATTATGTAAAAAGTTTTAAGAGTGAAGCAAATTTTTGAAAGTAATTAAAATTAAATTTCATGACAAAATTAAAAAAAGTTAAACTAAGTGTAATAAAATTATATTACATTTGTCGTACATACATTACATCCTCTTAAAGTTAATTATCCTTTTCTCAACGTGCACTCTTCAAAATAAAGACATTTAACGATTACCGAGAGATGGTGCTCAAATTTAAAGAAGATTCATCAGTGAATTTAATTTTGAAATGATTTAATTTTCTCAAAAGAATCTTTGGAAGAAGATTTCCTTTTATCTTGAATAAGGGTATGACAGACAATCACACAGTGAAGCCCCCGTTTGACAGATTCCCTCTTTGAATTAAATGCGCACAGGTTTACATTCTCTTTCCACATATCCATCAGTTAGTATTTTCGATAACGATACTGCAGACAATCGCATCGATTTTTTTCTCCTGGCGGTCCCCGCCAACCCCCACCGACATCAGCGCCGCAGCCAGCCAAAATGGCGACTGGCGCCAGTTTGACGTCATACAGCTTCCACAGAGCAGAGATGCGGGTCTCCATGGTAACCGCGGGCGGGTGGAAGACCCTACGCGCAACTATTGGCCAGAGCCTTTGGTCGCCTCTCATTATCATACTGAAGGGAAAAGCGGTCCGGGATATTGTAGGGGGGAAAAAGACGAGAGTACAGGTAGAGGAAAATCTTCGAAAAAGGAGGGTGGCCGAAGAGTGAACCGGTGCAAAACCGAAAAACTGGGTGTTTCGAACCCCACCACTGCCACTTGTGTAGTATTTTGTGGTCGCCGGCATAACTTTTTTTTCTTCCTCACCTTCCTTCTTTCCCAAAATCGGGAAACAGGTTCGAAGTAGATCGAAGACCCCTTTCTAGACACACCCCCTTTTCCGCTTTCACAAGGATTAAAACACTTCTCTAAAATTACCTGGCGATCTTCATCATCCTCGAAAAATTCGAAGAGGTGTGGAAAAGGTTATAAATCGTCGGGGATAGTCTTTGGACCACACTGCAATGGTCTTTCGAAGACGTCATCTGGACCATTCGGCCACCATCATCATCATCATTGGTTGTTGAAAAAAAAATTAGGAGATTATAAAGAAGAAATTTTATAGGATCCCGTGTTTCTTTTCGTTTTTTTTTCTTCCTTTTTGTTGGATTTTTCTTATCGGTTGTATACCCGTAAAAGCACGTCCGCTACGGATACTTATCAGATAAGAGTGGAACGCACCCTTTTTGTCGGCCATGGGATGTGCAATGAGTGCCGAGGAAAGGGCTGCTTTGGCTAGGAGTAAGCAGATTGAGAAAAATCTGAAAGAAGATGGAATCCAAGCAGCCAAGGATATTAAATTGCTCTTGCTCGGTAAGCTCATTATTTTTATTTTATACCTGCTCATTATTATTTTTTTTTGTTGCACTTCAAATTCGGGTGTGGGGATTAGTTAGTTTTGTTTGGAAAGCTGCATATTTTTTTTAAAATGATACTTTTGGCAACATGGTAATTGAAAAATTTAATCACTAGTGATTGAGTTATAGATGTGTGACTGTAGAAATGGGTTTATAATTTTGCAAGCAATTGAATGAATAAATGCGTGAATAGAGCAAATCAGTGCATGATCGCAAATGTATAATCGCATTCTTTCCACCATTCCCTACTTAGAAGATACGTGGAGACTCTTAGTATTCACCCGAGTGATTTTTAAAAATTCTTGGTTTAAATATCTTAAATTGCTCAAAAACTGCATCTTGTAAAAAGAAACCAATTGCAGATTTGAAATCAGCTACTTGAAAGTATGAATGGTTAAGTTGCATCCATTAAACTCGAATTGCATCTGACCTTATAGATTAAAATATCCTTCCTTTTTAAATAGTACATACAAAATATTTAATATTTTTTGATAATTAATTTGCACAGATTATTATAATAAAATAATTGAGCTGTGGGTATACTTTTATTTGATTATACCCTGTGTCGAATTTAATACTGTCTTTAAAAATATATAATGACCTACTTTTTTTTCTAATAGTAATATTAAATATCTCTTTAAAAAGCTTTTTGCAAATATTGAAATTAAAATTTCCGAAGTGCCAGTTTATCAATGGAAGTGTCCATCAATAGCTCACATTGTCTTAAAATGCGTTTCATAGTTTCCAACATTATAGCCATTGATTAATTTTTTTCGTTATGGTAGTAATATTTATATCATAATGCACAAACCTTAATTTTAAAAATAAATCTTAAACTGTTTAATCTACCCCGATAAATCAATAATTCAAACCTATATATATAAGATACATTAGTTAGGCAAGTATTCTAACACGTGTTGGTTAAATAGCTTATTTTTTTTAAAAAAAACTTTAATACCATAGCTATCATAAGATTACCACTCTCTAAAATATTTCTTAACAACTCATTTCTAACTCTCTCTGAAATATTTCTGTACAAGTTGGCAGCTATGTGATTTCTTTTCCTGAAAGTGTGTATTAAATCAAATATTTTATTTTGTTTTTAATTATTGCATAATCTTTGTTTATTCAGCATTTTACATTTTTACTTAATGGGTTATTTTTTGTAATGTTTGCTAAAAAAGGAGCTAATTTGCATACTTTAATTAAATTAATTGCTTTATGTAAATGCTCTATTTCAAATTTCATTTATTAGATGGCATGAATATTCGAACTAATCTCATAAACAATTCTTCATTCAATTTCTTTTCCTAAATCTGACCTGGATGAAAATTAGATTTTATTAAATTTAACTTAATCATTTCTAGGAAACTTTTATATTAATTAATTGGTCTTCATTTTCTTATCATTTTTATTTATTTTTTAGGTAACATTTATGCTGCACATATTCTGCATATAGTTCGTGCAGAACTTTGTTGCGCGTAGTTTTTATGAACAGCTAAACAAAATTCAGGTGCTAAAAATAGGCCAAACCGATAAACACCATCATAAACAAATTTTATGCAATGAAGGAACAACGATAATATAAAACCCGCCTACTCGAACTCAGTGAGTGTTTTTCCTGTCCGCTATATCTGGTAAAGGAGAAAACTATTTACAGGGTTCATTTTTCCAAACATCAAATTTCCCCCCGACTCAGTGATGAATGATTTATTTATTGCAAAGGTTGTCTAACAATTGGCAATTGTGGCCGCTTTGATCGAAACAATAATTATCGCTGATTGTAATGAAAGTATTTTAAACTTAATTATTGCTTTATTTGTAAAGAAATTAATAGTTTATATTTCATTGTCTAATTACATAATTATATAAATTCAAATATGCTCAAATAAGCATCATTGAAGTAATTAAAAATATAAATAAAACAAACATTTAAAAATAAAATTTGGAGGAAAGGGAAATTTATCAAAAATAGGATTAAAGTAAGTACATTGGGAGATTGGAGTGCTCGGAAAAACTGTTAAATTTTTTTTTTATTATAAAATAATTAGCACTCAGAATAATATTTTAACAACATAATTAATTTTTATTAACATAAATTATAAGCTAGGTCGAAGAAATAGAAATTAAAATAGAGTCAGAATTGTTAGCAATAAAAATTTTGTATGATGTGTAATTTGGTGATATTGAGAGCTTGTATACATTTTTCGATATTTGCATTATTTTTTTTCTTTCTATTTTTAAAGATAAAATTATAAAAGCGGTGGTTTTTCTTACTCAAGTTCTTGATTTATCAAAAGTTTTCTTTTTGTTTTTTTGTGAGACAGATCAAAACTGCGTCAAATAAAATTAAAAATACTTTAGAATAAGAATATATATTATGAATAATTTTTCAGCAGTACTTACCAATGAAGAATGACACAAATGAAAAACCATTTGTAAACACTGAGTTATTGGGTATAATATTTTTATTTTTTCAATTCACCGATTAATGTAACGAAAGAACAAATACATAGAATAGCAATAATAAATTTGCTTTACGTTTGAAAATACTTAAAAAAATAAATGCAAGTAATTAAAGTAAATTACTGAACTCGAGCAAAAACATTTTTTATTCCTCATTTTGAAAAAATAGGAGAAAATTGGTTATAAATAAATAGGCTTATTATATATATTTTAATATTTAATTTTTATTTGAATTTTTTATTCACTAAATATGTCAATTACAATAGCTTACAAAAAATGATGCTTAAAAGAAACATTGACTCTAAGAGGTAAGTATAAACAAATGGTTATTGGACTTTGTTTGAATTTAGCTTTCAGTGATAATAATATGGTTCAGTTAATACCCTTCCCTGACTTTGATTAATAAATTGATTTCGTGGATTACTAAATTTATTTACTTATTTTTTCAACATTTTATGTTTTTATTTAATAAAAATATTTTTCTTTGTATAATAAAAGCAAAAAACAAATACCAATGCTTTAATACATTTTAAGATTTTTATTTGTTTAAAAAGTTGATTGCTTGTGAAATTTCATTAATTTTTCAGCAGTTGTAATATTTATATAGTCCTAATATTTTTTTAATGGTTCATTTACACAATTTACCTGACCTACCTAGTTGATTTAATGTTGATTTGTAAAACTATTTTCAGAAATAAAAATGAAATTTCACTTAATTTTTCAACCGAAAAATATTGAGTATAGATTTTTTATGCAGTAGCTTGATTTGTAAGTATTTTGAAGCACAGACTTGTTTAACTTCGATGAAATATATTGCAGTTGTTAATAATAAAATAATATATGGACTGAAATTCATTATAAAATAATACTTAGAATATTTATTTAAGAATGTATTTTTAATGTGAGTTTTTTTTAAAATTTTGATTTCCCTTGCTTTGTTATTAGTAAAAATAGAATGATTATAAATTTATGACTCGTCAACTCTAGCCTCATATCATGGGCTGAAGTAGACTAAAATTATTTAAAAAATACTAATAGAAATATATAATTATCCTATATATAATTAAAAATAAAGTTAACAGTTCAGATTTTAATAAAAGAAAATGCTTGATATGTTCAAAATGATTATTAGTAATTTTTTGAGCCAAATTTAAAAAAAGTACACACAAATCCCCATCTCCACAACAAATGATATGATAATTATGATGTCATGTTTTTATTTTAGTATTGGTATGTAAATTTAAAAAACCACTTAAATTTTACTTCGTTATTAATTTAAACATTGAAAAAAAGTTAATATTTCTAGGTTTGTAGCTATGGAAATTTTTAAAAAAATATTAAAATGGTTAGTACAATAACAACAAATCTAAAAATGTTGAATATCCTAAATATAGTTTATGTTTCATCAAATATGAAACAAAATATTGCAATATTATAAGAAATTAAAATTATTTCTATTATTTACAGATGTAATATTATTTATGCTAAGTATTTAATAAACAGTGTAAATTATGTCATATCTGAGTTTATTCATGTAACAAATTTGCAATACCTAATGTTTTAATTTTTTCCTTTATATTAGTTTATTGTCCTTAATATTCCGATTTTCATATTGTTTATTTATAATTAGATATCGTCAACTTACTATCAGATTATATAAATAAGCCTAAAGAAAAATTTATTGGAATTTGTTTTTATTTCCTTACCAAATATCATTTTCAAATTTTTTTTTAAATTTTGGTATAAATAATTTATTATCTGACATCATTACTTTTTATTAAGTATTTTGTATTAGTTTAGACACTAGCACTAACAAAAGATTTGATTTTACCAGCATGGATCCATTTTCATTGATATAAGTATTAAAGTAAAGTGTTATTATGCAATGTTTCTTTTAGATCGTTTTTAATAACTTAAAAATAAACGTGACGATTTTGATTTATTTTTTATTAAAGACTCTTATTATGTTTTGACTGTTTTTAACTTTAAGACTTAAATTTCTATAAGATTTCCGAAGATTGTGTTGTTGTTATAAGTATCGTTATTATCACAATATTCTATGTCCCTGTTATAAGTCACAATATTTCATAATATTAAATATACTGATGAGACACCTTTTTTCTGGAAATGTTTTTTTACTTCATTAATTAAGTAGTTAAGTTTTTTAAATAAGTAGTAATTATTAGTTACAGAAGAAAACTATTACCACAATGATTGCTTACCCCCAATGAAGGCATACAAAATGTTTATCACTTCATGATGGATAAGATTATTAATATTATTTGTTGGTATTGATAATTCGTAGTTTTTTAATATTAATAACTCCTCGTAGTTTTTTAATATTAATAACTCTTCGTAGAAATGAAAATTGAAATAGATTTAAATTGGCTATTTAAGTGTATTTTAAGTGAATTTCAATTTATTCATTAAATTTTGTTTACTTCCTCCCTTATTTAAAAAAAAAATCTCTAAATTATATTTGCTCAAAAG